CCCCTCGGTGCCCCCCCCGCGCTCGGGCGGCTTATGTTCCGCGATCGCGTCGCGCTGTGGCGCCGAGCGCCCCGTGCCACGACGGTTGCGCACCGCTTTTCCGATTGCTCCACGGAGCGCGTCTGGCGAGATTCGAATTCGCAGTGCAAACTTGCGTCCCACTGCGACTTCAGGATCTACCATCGCCCTCGCGCGCGCGCGTTCAACGCGATTCGCGCGCGTCTTGTTCGAGCGCGCACGTTGCGCTCGTGGTCGCGCTCTCACGCGGCTCTTTTGTGCGTCATCTTTTTCCCCGACCTTGAGGGCGGGTTCCCGTTTAGTGCCCCCCTGGGGGGTCTGGGGGGGGGGGGCCGGGGCCCGCTCCCGCCCGCGGGGGGAACGCCGGCGGAAGCCGGCGGAAGATGGCGGAAGACGGCCTCATTTCGGCAGACACGATTCCGCGCGGCACGGGCGGCCCCAAGATGGTCGGCAAGATGTTCCGAGAGGGCGCGAGTCGCCACCAGGTCGATCCAGGCCGTCCAAGATCGCGCCCGGGTGGCCCAGGGAGCTAACAGGACGCTTCGGGAGGCTTCCGGGTGGCCCTCCCAGAGAGCCCCCAGTGTCAAAATGTATGGTTTTCTTTGGGTCGTCGCACGTTGTCTTGCTTTCGCGCCTTCGGCTTGCCGACGCGCCAAGACATCCCAAGAGGGCCCAAAAACCGCCCAAAGGCGGCCTCAGAGGCCCCCAAGAACGCGCCCAGACACTCCAAGACGCCCTCATGACGGCCCAAGAGGCCCCCACGACGGCCTCCGAAGGCTCCAGGAACGGCCCAGAAATACATCCAGAGTAGAAGCAGCAACCAGCATTTCAAGGTCGCCGCCCAAAAAAACCTTCAGGAGGCCCCACGCGGCCTCCAGTAGGCACCAAACATCGCGCCCAGACGGCCCAGGGAGCTCCCAGGGCGTCTCGGGAAGCCCCCGAGAGGCCCCCCCAGAGAGCCCCAAGCGTCAACGTGCATGGGTTTTCGCTGAGTTTTTAAACGTTTCTCGGGTTCCCACGCATTCGGTTCGCCGACGGTCCAAAACAGCCCACGAGGGCCCAAAGACCGCTCCAAGACGGCCTAAGAGGCCTCCAACAGAGCGCTCAAACAGTCCAACGTGCTCTCAAGACGGCCCCAGACGCCCCCAGACCCCCCAGGGGGGCGCTAAACGGGACCCCCCCCTCAAGGCCGGGGAAAAAGGGTCAGAATTACAAAAAGGTTCCACGTTCGGAAAAAAACAAACACTTGACCCTTTCCAATGTCATTCGCCTTGTTTTGTCTCGCAGCCCCCACAGACGGCCGACGTGGTTAAACATGGCCATCTGAGAAAATCGAAAGCACGATGCGATCGCCCAAGGGCCCCAATAGTACCCCGAACTGTTTGAAAAAATACGGGCGCCCGCAAACATGATAAACATGGTCGACGGAGGCGCCCCCAAGACCACGCCATCACTCTGCCCAGACAAAAGACATGACAATGGCGTTCGCGCCCACGCTTTTGCAGGGCGCAGGGCGCCCAACGCGCCCCGAGGGGCAGCAGGAGTCGCCGCAGGATGGCCCGGATGAATCCAGAGGAGGTAGACGCGGCCTACAACCCCCGCCTCCCCCTCGCGGCCCCCCGCCTCCCTCGCCCCCCCCCGCCCTGCTCCTCCCCCACCTCCTCCTCTTACTCCCCACTCCCCCCCCAATCCTTCCTCCCCCCTCTCATCCTTTCCCCCCCCGTCATCCTTGCGTTCCCCCATGCCCTCCTGTTCAATCCCCGTCGTTATCGCCCACTCCTTTTTCCCCCATCCCTCCGGCTTGTCCCCGCGCGCCTCCTCCCCGCCCTGCCCCCATCCCGATCTGCGCGCGGGCGCAGGGGCGTGAGGGTTGGGAGCAAGTGCAATGTTCAGATACGACGCGGGGCACGACCTGCGCGCGGGCACAGATATCGCGACGGCCGGGGGCTATATATATATATGTATATATATATAACGATGCTAACATGTTAAAATTCGCGCAGTGGCACGATCCGCGGCCGGGCACAAGGATCGCAAAGGCCAGGGGTAAGATCGGGCGATGTTCCAATCCGTCGACGGCACGATTTGCGAGCATGCACAAATATCGCAAGGGTTGGGTGTCCTCCAGGCGCCTGCGACACGGCCGTGGGGCCCACGCCGTGGGCGTCCACGTATCATAGCGGAAACGCGCCATGCAACGTTGCGCGATGCAGCGATTCACGTCACGGCGCGCTGCGGAGCGCCGCTTCTTGCGCGCATGATGTGTGAGATTTTTGCGACACGCGCATTGAATCTGTGTGGTTGGGCCTTAGGGGCGGTATCTGATGCATGCGATATGGCAACGTTGGAACAACTTAAGTGATGGCAATAAAGACACGCGCGCGATGCGTGGGTGGCGGTTGGCCCCATGAACCAAGTTGGGACGTGCGCACGATAGCGCCATCCTTCGGCGCCACCAAAACACATTTCAAAAAAATGCTAAAATATTTTGTCGGAACTTCGGTTTTGTTTCCTGGTGGGCGCAAGACCTGAAATTTCCCGCCGATTTTGGTAGCAAGCTGGGTTCCCGGGTTCCCGGTTCCAGGTTCCCGGGTTCCCGGTTATTGGTTCCGGGCCGATTTCGGTGGGTTCTGGGTTCCCGGGCTACCGGGTTCCTGGTCGATCTCCCCATCGAGAACCATCCACTGATTATTAGGGCTTTTCTCTGGTGTAATGTTTATGTCATTCTTCGTTCCCAAAATTCTCGACGACTCCAGGCCGCCGCGCGGGAGTGCTCGGAGCGGCGAATGGCGCGGGTGACCGCCTCCGCTGCGCAGGGCGGGCCCTGCTCAATGGGCAGGGGTCGACCAACTGCTGCCGAGGGTATGCGGAAACCAGGGCGGGGAGGGAGGAGGATCGAGGACGGAGGGTCCAGAATCGAGAGTCGGGGGTCGAGGATCGAGGGTCGAGGATCGGGATACGTGGCGGGCCAATCCTCGGCCCAGGCTCGGTGGGGTGGTCGATTGGCGCCCCCCGATCAGGGGAGGAATGAGGGAGAGCAGGAAGGATGGGAAGGGGCGAGGCCAGGACCAGTCAGCATCGAATCGGAAAATCCGATCGGATCGGAACGTGTATCGAGTCGGGCAGCATCGGCTCGGAGTCGGACTCGCTCGAATCGAATCGGCGGCACAAGGATGCGTCACAGCGCCGGGTAAGCCACGGGCCGCATCGAACCGCCCGGAAATCGGAATCGAGACCAATCGCGCCAGATCGCCCAAAGATCGGAATCGAGTCCACTCAAATCCAATCGGGCAGCGTCGGAATCGAGTCCGATCGCAGCCGAGGTCCTATCGGATCGATCGGATCGAGATGGGGCCTGGAGGGAGGAGGGAGGCAGGAAGGCAGCCAGGAGCGTGGCCACGGGAGCGCAGGCCGACAGCGCGGCCCACCCCCCGTCGAAGGGCCAGGACCCCGTGGAGATGCCCCGACGCGAGGCACAGGCTCCGATCGGGCGCTGGCAGAACTGGGTGCAGTGGGACCTGGTTTAGTGCTGTGTGCCGGGGGACGCCCCCCCGCCCCGTTCCACGAACCGGAACTGCCGCCACCCGAAGAAGCACCAGCCACGGCAGACCTGGTTTAGTGATTCTGGCCAATTTAGGGGCTCCAGGGCCCTACTAGTGACCGGGTCCCCTTACCTGGGGTCCTGGCTATACCCGATCCGAGGCGGCGAGCCCAGACGCGAAGACCACGCGGCCAGACCCAGGACAGAAGAACGCCTCTCAAGATCACGAGGTCCTCCGCCGGCCAAACTGAAGGAGCATTCGCTGAGCATTTTCTTGTGGTGGAGGGCTCAGCAGGGCGAAGCCCGTACGGGCTTCTGCACCTCGAGAACCAACCCGTCCTGCGACTCACCCTTTGCAGATTCAAGCCTCGAAAACCTATCGAAACGGCATTTCAGATTTTACCCTTGGCCCTCCACCCAGAGAACATGCTCGGAACACGAGGCCCTCCGCCGGCCAAGCTGAAGGAGCATTCGAGGGTGCCCTCCCCCGTGTTGCACACAAACATCCAGCAGGCACGAAAGAACACGATAGGGTACCCCGTACAAGCCAGCCTCGATCGCATGCCTCGGTCCAACAATAAGGGAGCCACTCCGAAACTAGGATCCTTCTTGACCCCCGCCCTGGTGGCAATTGGCTCATTACTGGGACGGGCCCCGGCGGCCGCTCCAGACGATTTTCAAGGGGCTCAGGGACACACAAATAAATAGGCACAAATCACAGGATTCGCAATACCTTCCAATATTTGCTGGGTTCTCGTCTTCCCCCCACTTCCCATATTTTACCATATTTTCCTGGAAGCCAAGGATTAACTGTGTCTGTGTTTCTTTCCCGCCTGAGATTTGGGCACCCCGAGAGAGAGAGAGAGAGAGAGCTCGACGGCGTGCGGTCGCTGGAAAGCACCCCGACGCAGGACCCCCCTGAATACAGTCATAATGGCCACCAGCGGCAAGCTCCCGGTGCAACCCCTGGAAAGCATTCCGGGAGAGAGAGAGAGAGAGAGAGAGAGAGAAAACTCGACGACGCGCAACTGCTGGAAAGCATCCTGACGCGGGAACCCGCCAATACAATCATCATGGCCACCAACGGCAACCCCCCAGTGCAGCCCCTGGAAAACATCCCGGGGCGGGAACCCCCCAATACGGCCATCGTGGCAACTAGGAGGGTTGCAAAATGGGTTTGGGGGGAGGGGGTTTTCCAAAGAACCCCTCAAGGACCTCGGATCCTCGTCAAACAGAGAGTGCGAAGACCCTGGGGGACCCCTCCTGGAAAACCCCTTCCCCCAAACCCCCTGTGGAACCCTCCGGGCAACCAGCGACACTGTCCTCATTCGCCGCCCCCGGGAAGGCGCAGGGCGTGCCGCAGGAAAGGACGAACCACAAACACCCCCATCGGGACGGCGACACACGATGAGCACCCAGCGCAGGGCGGCGGCGCGGTGGCCTGCTTGGAAGAGCACCGCATTGGCGGGCTGCTTCTCCTCGACAGGGGAGGGGTATCATCGCGACCCCGCCCTCGGGGGCGTCCAAGAGGGGGGTGTCCAAGAGGGGGGAGGGCGCAAATCATGTCCAGCGGTACGTGCGCGGCCCAGGGGCCGGGGACGTAATCAAACAAGAAGAGGCGCCATGATATCTGGGGAATATCATGGCCCCCGCCATGATATCCATCCCCCTAATCATCACCCCCCTCTTTGCCGCCCCCGACGCCCTCCAACTCCCACGCCGAACCGGATCGCAAGCGGCAAGGTCCACCCACCCACCCTTCTCTACGGCAGGTTCGTGTCGTGACGGCCCCTGCGTTGGTTTCAACCACAGTCTGGATATCCCGACCCTGCTAAATCACGGCTTTCCGATCGAGCATGTCGTTCGGTTTCCGCCGATCTGGGGCCGAGGAACAGCGTTCGACCTTGAACGTCCGTGGTTCTGTCTCGGGGCAACGCAGAGTTTCCTGGTCCTGGTCGGTCACGAAGCACTCCGCAGGCGTCGCCAAGTCCTGCGGAATTTCGGGCGCCAAGGCTGCCGCGGCAAGTTTGGCAGATGTGCGCCCCTTGCGCGAGAGAGATTCGCGGGCCGCGCGTCGCGCCAGAGTCGCCGCCGCGCTCTCGGCGCGCGCCCGCGCGCAAGATGCCGCGCCCGCGCGTCGCTCTGCTAACTTCTCGGTGTCGCGGCGAAGGGCCCCTGGCCCCAGTCCAGCTGGGCCCGCGCCACGACGGCGCGTTCGCGAGACTGCCGCGCGGTGGCTTCCCGGGCCACCTGCGCGATCGCTTCTCTGATACCACCGGCGGCGTCGAAGCGCGCTGTCGCGCGTTTGCGGGCGATTATTGCGCGCGGGCGAAAGACGGCGCCAGTGCTCTCTCTCTCTCTCTCTCTCTCTCTCGAAGGAGGAGGAGGAGGAGGAGGAGGAGGAGGAGGAGGAGGAGGAGGAGGAGTCGCCGCTCGGCGGGCATGGGCGGTCTCGAGCGGTGGCGCGCCGCAGCTCGCCGAGCGCCGCGGCCGGGCGCGAGCGGGCGGATCCGCCGCCCCTGTGCGGGCCGTGCGTTGGGCGAGCGCCGCCCCGGCGAGCGAGCGAGCGAGCGCGCGGGCGGCGATTCCGACGCGGGCGATCCACTGCGCGAGCGAGCGAGCGAGCGCCTCTGCGGCGGCGGGCGGGCGAGCGCGATCCACTGCGCGAGCGGCGATTCCTCGAAGCGCAGGCGCGGGCCCGGGGGCCGCGTCGGGAAATGCCCCCCCGCGCCTGCAAATCGCGCGTCTGCGCCTTGCGGCGCGGGGCGGGGCCTGGAAGCCGGGCGCCGGCGGTTATCAAAACCTCTGCAGACGCAGCGTAAATGTCCAGGCGCTCTCTAACAGAACTGCCCGCGGCGCCGTGAGTTGGCCCGTTCTGCGCTGTCTCCGTCGCGCGAGTCTGCGCCGCGCTACGCGGGGCGCCGGGTCGGGCCGCCAGGGCGCGGCACGGGCGCGCGGCGGGGCCGCCCGCGAGCTCGCGCGCGGCGGCGAGTCGCCGCCCCGCCCCCCGGCCCAGCGCGCGAGACAAGCTTGCGACGCAGGGCGGCCCGCGCCGCGCGCGCCGCGTTCATTGTCGCTCCGCCGGCGCCCTGGGCTCCGTCGCGCGCTTCCCGCGGGGCGCCCCAGCGCCGCCCGCTCCGAGCGCGGGTTCGGCGCAAAGGCGCCCCCCCGGCCCTTTGCGGAGCGGGCCGCCAGCTCGTCGCGCCCCTCTGGCGCGCCGCTTCTCGCGCTGATTCGGGCCCGTCGCGGCCGGGCGCCCCGCGCGGGCCCGGGGCGATCCGCGCAACGGGATTTCGGGAGGGGCGCGCGGGGGGGGGGGTCGCCCACCCTTGCTCGCCGCGCAAATTGGCCCACGCGCGGCAGGGCGGGGGCGACGAAGGGCAGTGCCGGGCGTGACCTGCCGCCTGGCCTCTCCCATTGCGGGCGCTGCCGGTGCGTTCCTGGCAGATTGAGCTGCGCGCTGGGCCGGCGCAGTGTAGTCTGGCCGAGCCGCACTCGCACCTGAATCAGATATGCCATTCTGGCTGAAATCCCCCCCCCCACGCAGGCCCAATGTTTGAACTGAGCGCAAACATAGTTCCCACCCTGAGTTCGAACGGGGTTTGAATTCAAACAGACTTCAGACAGAGTTCCCGCGCACATGCACAACATGGGCTCAACATGGAGAAATCAAATATGTTCGCTGTTCTCTCCGATCTCGACATACGTCTGCGACCTGAAGATGACCGCATTGGATGCTTCCTTTGCCCTGGCCCTCGCTGGCGCGGTCGCGAGAAGAGCACGCCTGCAACGCCCCGGCAACCGAGGCGGTCGCGGCAGCCTTTCCCCATCCGACGTCGCAAGCCAGAACCGGGCACGAGGCCCATCGCGTCGTCGATTGTCGCGTATCCGCGCAAAGTGGGATCGACTTCGCCAAGAGTGGATGGGGGTGGTCTCGGACTCGGAGGTAGCGCCCGCGTGCTCGTCGTCGCCCAGAACCTCGTTGTCGCCATCTTCCAGCGCGTCGAAGCGCGCGGGCAGCGACATTCCTAGCCAGTCACGGAACGGACTGACTTCTTCCTCGTAACCGCGCAACGCGTCGAGAGGTCGTCGGCGCAACGGTGAAAAGCTCGGGGGGTCGACGTATTCAAGATTGTCTTCTATGTTCTGGGCCAAGAAGCACGGGGCCGCCCCCTCCCCCTCGCCATTGAAGTATCATTGGGACCGGAAACGGTTAACGCTGCCACAAATATTGCACGCCACGCAGTTTCCATCTCGGTCCAAGAGGTTCATCTGTCGACCCTTCCCCTTTCCCAATATGATTCGGGGCCCCTCGCCCACTCCTCGGCGGGAGGGGGGTTCTTCGCGCGCGATGTGAATCAGAGGTACCAAGATCGCAACAACGCCGCGGCCGCGAAATCTCCCCCGCCCCTTCCTGGCTCGCCCCATCCCCCCGTTGCGGAATACTCCTCTCGCGCGACGCCCAGCGCATCTCATGCGTTTCTTGGCGGATTCTCCGACAGCGTCCAGCGCGGTGATTTCCTGGAAGTGAATACTTAACAATCTGCTCGTTGGTGACATGCACTGGTACTCCCATGGCATGTACGCGTTCAATTCCTAATGATGAGACGGCGTCGGAGCTGGTGCCCGAGTCGAAGGGCGAGGCCCGTTGCCCTGCATCACCCCAAAAGGGGATTGCTGCGTTTGACGGCGGGGCGCAGGCCGCTCGCCGCATGGGGCTCGGTGCCTCCTGGCTGCGCGGCGCCAAGTTGCTTGGCTCAGCGGCGCTGCGGCGTCTGGGGGGCCTGTGCCCCCCCAGATGTTGCCTGTTGCAGGTGGCCCCGCGCTGGCTTGGGCATTGCCGGTGGTAGCGTGGAATGCGCCTGCGTAGTTTCCGCGTCCATTGAAGACGCTGCCAGTATTATCTGGGGCGCGCTCAACTAAGTGGCCGTGGCTGCGTATGCGCTGCAAGAGTTGGTTATGTTGTTGTTGCTGTTGCTGGTGGGTGCGGGGCATCTGGTGGTCGAGCGGTTGCAAGAGCTGCGAGGCCATGGAGGTGCCCATTGCAAAAGCCCGACACAGGATGAACGTCAGGATCTGGACGTTGGTAGTTTTCAAGCAAGCTGAGTCGGCTTCCAACCTGGCCGTCTCGAAAAAAGCGAGGACTGCATCGATCCGCTCTCCACGCTCAAAAGTCGACGAGGGCCGTGCCAGACATCAATTGCCGCTCGTCCTCTACGTGCTCACATTTGGCACCGAGGGAGAACATTACATAAATGCGTCGGTGCGTTGACCGGTGGATGGCTACACCGTACTTGATGATGTGGGACGGCACCCTGATCGCGATGGTCCTCGCGAGACCATCTTGGCCGTGCTGCATTGCAGCGGTTTGCTGGGGAGCTTTCCTCGTGCCGTGAGTGCGTTCAACTTTGAATTTCTCGGACGAGATCGTTACACAATGCGTTGCCTGGAAGGTCCCAGTTGGGACCTTGCAGGCTGCACGCACCCGGCTGCAAGACCGAAACAACAAATATATGATGCCAACAGCCGTGATCTTGAGATACTGCATGATGAAATCTGGATCACGGATATGATGTTTCTTTTTTTCGGAGGGAGCTGACGTGGCGGTCAGTTTGCGGATGGGTGTTGGCGCATGTCCGCGCGCTGGCATCGAGCCACGTCGGGTAACATTGCAGTACCTGTTGGCGGTTGGCGGTGATTGGGGGCGTCGTGGTGTACAGCTGTGGCGCGCACGCTGTGGTCGACGTGGCCGTCGACTAGTGTATCGTCAAAGGTAAGCAAACAACCTGGCTCGGCTCCGCCATCGAACGTTGGCGTAATAAAAACCATCATCAATGGTCCACCAAACTGTGCCGTGAAATGCTTGTCCTGGAGCCAACGCCAACCACACAGTAGTGAGGCCAGCTCCGCTACCAAGTCAAAAGTGGGCTGGCACGTCATTGTACATAGATCGTATGTTACGACCCCCATACCCCAACAGCGGCGAGAAAAAGACAAGGGTCAGATAACGGAAGAGGATGCATGATCAAAATACGATACATGTTCATATCACGCGATCGTAGACAGTAGGAGGTATAAGCATGTATTAGCTGCGCGCCGCTGTGAGCCACAAAGGCAGCGGATAACTTGCTTCGCTCGCCTTTGACCTCTTTCAAACTGAGGGGAGATGGAGGAGGAAGGAGACGGAGGAACAGGAGGAGGAAGGAGGAGGGAGGAGGGGGGAACAGGACGGAGGAACAGGAGCAGGGAGGAGGGAGCCCCTCGCATAGATCGGTGCGCTCCGCTCGGGCCACTAAACGGTTGCCGCAAGCCTGCACGACCCCCGCGTAGCACCACCTGCGCACGCGGCACAAACAACGCCCCAGCCGAGGCGCGCGGATAGGTGGCGACATCCGAACCCTACCCCCCCCCGATCATCGATTATCGTGAATCGATGGTAGGCGGGGGTAGGGTTCGGACCTCGCCACAAATTCGACACAATCTTCATCTTAGCCTCGCCACACATCGAACTGCGTGACTCGTTGATCGGATCGGCGAGGGTGGGGTTCGGATTTCGCCGCCGAGTGGAGTAACATCCTGTGCCGCTTCCATACAAGATCGACGCGTACCGTTGCCAAATCGGGCGGCACTGGCTTCATTTGTTAGGGGGGTGCTTTCCCACGCGCCAACGCGCCAACGCGCTAGATCCATGTTCGCGCGTGCCTGATCCTGTAGCAAGCCGTTCTCTCTCCCTCTCTTTCCGACGTTCCTGCCTGGCCCCCCAAAGCTTCACATGCGAGCTCCATCTGGTCGAGGAGCGCCTTGACCTTCTCTGACCGATCCGCCTGCATCTTGCTGGTCTCGCCGCGCAGCTTGACCAGGAGGGGCCGGTGGTGCACAACGGAGGAGAGCGTGCTCTGTCCTACCCGGTGTGCCCGTTGTTCGCGCTTCGGCCGTCGCTCCACATGGTGCTCTCTCTCTCTCTCTCTCTCCCCCCTCCTCCCTCCCTCCCCCCTTCTCTCCCTCGCTCCATTTCTCCCTCGCTCTCTCTCTCTCTCTCTCTATGTGTGTGTATGGTTGCGGCCCATCCTGGGATCAACCTCGGGGTGGTGCTGCGTGCGAGTGATGCTTCTTGGTCTTTCTCTTCCCTGGGGTGGCACCCCCAATGTCTTCACCCGTGTTCCTGGTGAGCTGGGCAGGGAGGTCGGCCAGACGTACGTAGCACACCGCACTCGCAACTCTGTTACGTTTCTTTCCTGGAGGGCGCGCGCGTTCCTCCAACATCACTGGGGTCGCAGATCCAGCTTCTTCACGTGCATTCTCGGTGGACTGGGCTTAGAGGTCGGCGAAAATAGCGTATGTACATAGATGCACATGTGTATACACATGTAGATTCAACGTGCCAACCATGCATTCCTTCAAACATAGGGGAACCGCGTGCGATCTAGTCATGCTTGAATTGTGTGGCTCTCTGGGGCAGCCACCCAAACTTACTCTCGCGTGGTAACGGTGGGCTGGGCTGACAGATCGTGGAACAGGAATCAGGTTGTAAATCAATGAAGAACAATCGCACTGCCAACTCTGAGATGCTTCCACAAGGGTGCTGCATGCGATCTAGTTGGAAAAAAGAAAAGCGAGATAGATGGAAAGACATATCTTGATAGAGAGGGAGAAATGCAAAGACGAGAAGGTAGTCATTCTCTGTTGTCCCTCTGTCTCCGAAGTTCTAGGTCTCTTTCGCTGCTCAACTTATGCTTCAGTAGTGCGTTCACTCTCACTCCACCTTATCCTCCTCTACGTCTCCATCATCGTTTCCAACACGATGTTTCCCTATGTCCTTGACCTGATCCTCGTCCGCATTCTCACCAACATCATCATAATCTTCCCCATCCTCCTCGCGCACCTCCTCCTCCTCTTCCTCTTCCTCCTCCTATTCCTCCTCCTCATCTTGATCAGCAACATCACAATCCCCGTCAAAACCACGTTCTTCAAAATCATCCTCCACAGATTTGTTCCCCTACATCCCCTCATCATCACAACCATCCTCATCACTATCATAAGGAACAGGACGGTCATGACAAGTTGCAGGGGTGAGGTGCTCCCGACCCAGTGGCATTAGAGTACCCCTACAAGCTGAGAGCGACCCCTCCCCAGAAGCGCCCGAGATGGGCTGCAAGAAGAAGCCCTTGGGAGTGTGCAGTAAGGCGAGATGCTCCGGGTGCACTCCAACGCCTGAGCACGAACGGCGGACCCAACCGGCGCTAATCTTGCAGCTCAAACAGAGGGCGCGGTAGTCACAATAGACAGAGAGGCCGCCAGACATGCAGAGGAGAGGGACGACGTGGACGGCAGCGGAGGCAGAACAGAACACACGCGTTAGCATGTCTCCCGCTGCATATTCCAAAGGACGTGCGGTGTGGCAGCAGGGTTCGGCACGCAGCATCCTGTACGCAGCTCATACTTGCTCGACAACGCATTTCTTCTCAGACATGTCGCGCACAGTCTGCTGCACAAAGGATACAATACTACAATGCGACATGGCGTGCGAAGCTAATAATAAAGCGTCGCATGCACACCCAACGAACAATCACTGTCAAGCAAAAAATACGCCTTAGACCACATGCAGAGGACCGCCAGTAGAGTGAACCTTCAAAATGGCGCACAACGATACACCACATACACAACTATAACAATGAGCGCGTTTAGGTGTTGATGCAGACCGGGGCCACGTGTCAGTAACGGACTGGCAACAAGCGAATCCCACAACGATCACTCTCCTCCCCCTCGAACCCATCCTCCCTCCCCTTCCCCGTCCCCCTTTCTCTCTTCGCCTTCAGATTCTTCTTCCGCCAAAATATCCATCGAACACGCCGTAGTCCTGGCCGTAACAAGTAGTAGTAGTAGTAGTAGTAGTAGTAGTGGTAGTAGTAGTAGTAGTAGTAGTAGTAGTACTAGTACTAGT